CAATAGTAACATCAAAGATCACAGATCGCCATAACAAATATAATGGTAATGAAAAAGTTTGAAATATTGCAAAAATTACCAAAATGTGACACAGACACAAAGTGAGCAAATGCTGTTAGAAAAATGGCGCCGATAGACTTGCTTGACGCATGGTTGCCACAAACCTTCAATTTGGAAAAAACGCAATATCTGCGAAGCGCAATAAAACGAGGTATGCCTGTACTTCGTTTTGAAAGTACTAAAAGACAGTGCAGTAGCAGCCTATACTGTGCCATGCTGACCACACACAGTTATTTTTGGCCACTATGTTGCCGTAGTAACGTGCTATAACGAGGGAGCGCATTGCTATGGTGACATAGCAGTGGTGACCCAGTTTTTCCCAACGCATGTTATGGCACCCTAGCACATCACTGTGGGTCATATCTAAATTACGTAGGCTGTCCGTATATAATGTTGTTAGCACACCATAGCACATCAGTACGGTGGCATAGTGTCTTGTGTAGCTGTGCCCATTGTGTGTTGTACAGAAAATGATTTCTTATTTGCCTAGTTGAAAATGTTTGTGGAAGCTATTTTGACATTATAGACATGCAGTATAGAACAAAAGTTGTTTAACTTAGCAGAATTCTATGTGTTGCATGTTGTACATGATTTTAGGGAAGTTATGCAGCACTTTTCATAGCTGAGGTATCTCAACACTTATAAAAGCAGTTTATTGAATATTGGTAGTGAAGAGACTAGAATTAAATGTAGTGGCCATTATGCAGTTAGCAGCAACATGTTCTTCTTTTTTTCAAAACAGGACAACTGCAGTCTGGCTCTTTGTTTCATGTCCTTCAGTTTCTCTGTCTGTACACAGAAGGAGACTAAGCTCTACAAGGGACCACAGTTTAAAAACTCTTTAATCTTTTGGTCTTGTTCTTCATGACTGTATTTAGACTAGGGTATTTCTGTGTCAACTCTTGGCTGCTTGTTGTCACAAGTACAGGAAAGGAGATGGTTCTTATGACAAATAAAAGGGGAAGTGGACCATGAGAAAAATGCCCAAATAAAATGGGATTCAAGATACAGAAAAGTTTGCAAACCCAATTTAAGAACTGATTGATCATTTTTCTTTGTACAAGGAGATGGAGAAGTGGTTCTGAAAATTAACAGACTGTGCAGAACATATTTGATGGTGAGGTACTAGGTGATAAAAGTGTCTCTGATACTTGATGTCCAGGGAAATAAAAATAGACTACTGAGAAGATTTGAAGAATTCAACCTACTGTCTTGTAGCAAACTAACAAAACAGTAATCTTTCTGCTGCAGCTTTGGTTCTATTGCAGTGATAGCCCAGTATAATCAACTCCTGTAAAAATAAGAATAATGAAATGTCACCACTGATAGGTAAGTCTTTATCTAGCTTGTTGATCCAAATATGGAATTAGCATAATTGAAAGGGCAGTTCTAAGGCCTTTTGAATCATTACAGAGTTTATGGGACCTAAGTTCCACATATTTTGTCTTTCAGTGTAAGTAAGGACAGCAAGGCAAGTTCTTCCTGTTCTTGTCAGACTTTACTCCCCTCTTGCATTAAATGTTGTCTGGAATATTTTGAGCTTGTGCAGTTAGCATAGAAAAGCAATGAGCCCCAGAGGCAATAGTAATAACTTCTTTTGGATGCCAACGTTAGTTTTTAGTGTAAAATGTACTGCAGTAACTTATGTGCATTAATGGAAACACAAAAGTAGGCAACTGTTGATCCCCTGGACACATAAGGGGTCTAATCAGATGCCTGATGGATCTGTTTGTGGCTGACAAGCTCAAATTCAGATTGAGAAAACACACAATCGTTACACTTAGTGCTGTTTGAGTAAGAAAAGCAAAATTGTCCTGTTTCTCAGCTACAGACTCTTGGAGTGCTACAGCACCTAGATAATTCAGTAATGAATATTATTCATTCGGAGAATTTAAAATACTATTTTATTTTTCAAACATTGTTATTCATATGACGTATGAACTTGAATGAAGTGATTCATTGTGATTATCTGTTAGGTTTTGTAGTGTGTAAGGCATTGCAGACCTACCAGTTATAGAGATGAGGGGGCTCAGATGAACATTTTGGTGGTCCAAGGCTTTTGTTTTATAGTGACTGCTTATTGTGTGTCTGAACTTTATGGGAATGCTAAATTAGTTGATTCTTTTTTAGTTAAATTCTGTTTCTTTCCTTAGCTTCACCAGCAGATGTGTGGTAATTGGAATTACAAATTGAAGTGCTTTTTTCTTCATCAACTAAAGGGAACAAATCAAGTTATACTGAAGAATTGCATACCTGCATTCCCTGGAAAAAATTTAGTGCAGTTTTGTTGCTTTACTAATCACTGTTCTTCAGTGGGGTTTTTAACCCCTTTGCTTCAGTAGCATCTGCCAACATTCTTGCATTTTTCTTCTGACTACTGTCACAGTTAGCCAGAATCCATTCAAAATGATGTGTCCTAGATAAGCCCAAGTATCAGCCCAAGCAGCAGGGTCATAGAGACACATACAAGGGATTTGGAATGTTTGACCAGGTGGTAAATAAATATCATCTGTTGTTTTGTCGTGTTCTGCAGTGAAGATGTTTTTATATCTGCATCAACAGAAACTTCTATGGGGAATAAGTGTATTAGTAGATACACATATGAACAGAGACATGGAGTAACTTTTAACTTAGTTTGTCTCCAATGTTGTTTCTGTGGCAGAAAAATTACTTGGATGCATCAAGTCTTGAGCCCTTCTGGTGATTCTGGACTCATTTTTATGAAGTAGCTGATATTCTTAGGTACGATTTGATTTAGTAAGTTGGATGAGTACTTGTAAAAATGTTATAAGCACAAGCAGTTGGAAGAGGTCTTCCTGTATATGTGGTATAGGGAGATTGAAGAGAAAGCATGAATTTCCTGTTATCTGCAATAATACTTAGTTTTAAAAAAATCATACATAAGAGACAATAACAGTTGTATCATTTTCAAAGTATATTTTGGGATGGATTTTTAGGGTTGTATGATCTAGAAAGGTTTTGGATCATATACTGATTATTAGGAAGCAGACTTGTAGTCATACAGAAATGTTTTAAATTGCTGAATAACTAGTAGAAAGGTTTGTCTAGTTGGGATTGGAGATAAGGGGTCTGCTATCTCACAAGTTTGAACCATGAAACATGAACATTTTAGGATATAAAGAAAGAAGAAAGTGTTTCCTATGGGCTTCACAAAACTGTAGTTACTAGAGCCCACACAACCCATTTTTTAATCTATTTTTTTCTTTAGAAGAAAAGACAGAAATATTCAGATTAATTTAGTGAGAGGATCCGGCACACAAACATTCATCCAAGTTCCTGTAAGTGAGATCTGGTTGTCTGATAATTGGATACAGATAGTGCTGTATCAAGATTTAATAATGTATTTAAAATACAAAGTACAGAAATAAAAATTCTTTTCTTTTTTTCTGTTCCAGGTTCTCTGGGAGATGCTAACAAGGGAGGTCCCCTTTAAAGGCTTGGAAGGATTACAAGTAGCTTGGCTTGTAGTGGAAAAAAACGAGGTAAGACTACGTTTCTACATTCAGGTACATAGATCAGAAAACAGTATTGGGGTTTTGCAAAAGACTTTTTCATCTTCTTCAAATTGAAAGTAAGTTCACGCGTATGGAAAGATTAGCAGTAGGAGCTAACACAAAGGGTCAAAGTGATGTTATTCCTCATGAATGGACCCTTTACATCTAATTGTTGCAGCTTCACGTCGTGATGCTGTAGATCAAAAATTGTACAAGTACTGTACTAGTTTCTCAGTCTCAATTGTAAAACCTAGGGGTTTGTTCTTAGTGATGAAAGAAGCCATTGCGTCCAAGGTAGGGGAACAGTTTAACTCCATCTCCTGCGTTTAGGACATCTTTTTACTGGCCGGGAGTTGATATATCTGTAAGAGACCTTCAGCTACTTCAACTTAACTCTCCCAGCAGGAGTCACTATAGTACAAGAAACTGTCGCTTAGATGAAAATTTCAAAAATAAAAGAAGAAAAAATAGTTAAAAAAAGAGAGAAATTACAGTTTTGCCACCTACGTTCAACACTACATTGAAGATGAGCTCCTCACTGATATCGGCAAGGCTGTGGCATAGTTGCAAGCTTCCTCATGCAGAGTCTTTCCATTTCAAAAGAACTTCAGTGGTGTAAACACCATTTGTACAGTGTCCCCAGCCTCGCTTTTCTTCTTGCCACAAATTGAGGCTTTCACTTAGTTGGATATGTGAGCGTATATCTGAACACACAGTTCCTTGATATCAAAGACAGCAACTACATTTAAAAACATTTAAAGTTAAGATTGGGCTACACACAGACCAGCATGGAAATCCTCAGTTAAGATGAAACTTTCAGTAGCTAGTCACAGTAGAAGTTTGGGTAACATTACAGTGGTAACTCACAACTATACAACACAGTTGTATATTTTTCTATACAAACTGCTTACCAAAATGCTTTAGAGTTAGATATTTCATAGCAGAAGGTGAAGATATTTGTGGGAGAAATCCTTTCTGTTTTGTATGTCTTTTTCTTTTTCTTCCTTTTTTTTGGTTTTTGTGTGGGGCTTTTAATAATTGTACTGGTTCCATTTCCTGATGTGGGATGTCCAAATTAGATAAAAAATCTTCATGAGTAAAGAGCAACCTTATGACATCAGCCTTCCACAATGTACGATTTCAGAACAGCAGACATAATGGGACTCCTTCTCCCATTTTAGGGAAAGTTTCATACATCTAATGCCAAGTTATTTGGGTGAAAAGGAGACCAGAGAGTCTTCCATACACAGTATATACATACCATTCTTGCATATGCCAAACCCAGAGTTTTATGAAGGCTTTACCCTATAAAACTTAGACCATTTCAAATGAGTAAGGTGAATAAATTCAGAATATGCTTGAAAGATATTGAAGAAGATGCTTATAAATCTGTTATTACTTCCAAAGCAAGGCACTATATGCAATACAGTATAAACAAAATATGATGATGGCAGTTCCCTTACTTCACATGGAAAAAACAGAAGAAAAAAATAAGTGGATGAGTGGAGTTTGAATTGCATATATAACTAGTACCATCAGTCTGTTGCTGTTATTTTCCTCCATGAATAAAGAATCACCCTTCTTAAATGGGGTGCTTTAGAGGTTAAATGATCCTTAATTAGTGTATGTGGGCCTTGTTTGGAACCTGTGCACATTTTCATAGGATGGAATTCACTTTGCTAGAATATTTTCCATTTTCTTCATACTTGGATCTTTTTTTTTTTAACTCTAGAAGACCCTAAATATGAAAGTCCAGATTATGGTTGGCATTAGCTAATGATAAATTACTGCTGATAAATGTCATCTTTATTATAGTATGTCATTCTTGGAACCAGCTACCTATATGTTACCTGACAAATAGCATTCTGCACAAGTAAGACAAGTACTAACTCATTTTCCATCCCCTGGAACAGTGACAGTTACAGACAAATGCCACAGCAGCACTATCAGACGTATTTTTAGGCAAACGATTCAACCAGGTATTAAGTGTCAGTGCAGTTTGTTTATGCATTGCAGAGCTTTCTCTATTTCTTTCACAGAACATTTTTCACATGGATGTAATCTGTTATTTTAATAATCACTTGCCTGTAACACTATTATTGTGTATCTCACATTTCCAGGTTTTATCTTGCTTAAATACATGTGTAGTAGAGTTTGTTATACTTTTTTTTTGGCATACTGTGGCTCATAAGGCTTTGCAGGTCACATTACAGTAATATAATGGTACAATCTGATACAGCTTGCTCTGCTTTACTTGCGAAGTGCCAAGATTAGTGCATGTCAAGTACCTCAGTTGGCAAGTTTGTTTGAACAGAACTGTTATCTCTTGGTTCAGATCCTAGTTGTCTGGCTCTGCTCTGTTTATGACACCTAGGAAAATGGTTCCTTCTTAGCTTGGCCCTGCTTATTTTTGTGTTCTCCCCAGTTCTCAAGTGAAGAGCAGCTTTGTATTTACATGTTAATTTAATTGAGTATCACACATCTGTGGTCAAACAGATCTAGGCTCCCTGTAATAGTTGTCTTGCTATAAGTGTAATGTTGTGGGGATGCTTCATTAAATAATGGCATTTATTTTGTGCATGGGCGTGTGTATAGATGACACTCAGAGCATGGCATTCTGGGCCTTTTCACACCAGACAAAGAGTTTGCAAATTAAAAGTTTCCTTCATGGTAGCCTTAAGTTCTCTTGAATCTTTTCAATCCATTGCAATGCAAATGAAACTGCTTTTAAACAGGTTCTCTGTTACAGTGACCCACCCTAGTTGTTACTTGCAGCTTTTTTTCATAGCTTATCTGAAAATATTTGCAGTAACAAAGATTTCTTTCATCCTTGAGCTCTTTTTTGAAACATTAATGTCATGATTAATCAATCTGATCACAACCTTGTGAAACTTATTGGAAAATCTTAATTTCTCATACCACACAAACTTTTTTAACATCGTTAACCTTCCCTAGTTGATATACTCTATCTTCATATCCCATTGATTTGCGGTATCAGCAATAGTTTTAGTACTATCCAATTGAATTACTCATGTGAGAGAAGGGTATTAAGTCTTTTACCCCATTCAATCCATTTTGAGAGGCATGATATTCTACTAGAACAGTTAATTGGGAACAGATGTTTGATTTAGCCATGCCTTGTTTTACCTATTTTGCTGTTAGTGGGGTTTTTTTGTTTTATTTTTTAGATGTTTAACTACTCTGCTGGAATATTTGCTCCACTACCCTGTCCTTCCCTTACATTTGGGATCTGTACCTGACAGGCGTACCTACCTAACTGTACCTCACCACTGTTATTCTTGGGCTTTTGTACGTTGAACCTTAGTTATAGTTTTTCATGTACACATTTATTCTGTTAAAAGACAAGTTAGAAAACTTTAAAAGACAAATTTTATAGAAAGCGTATCATTAAATCATAAAAAAAAAAACCATGTTGCTTTCATTTAATTGGTTACTTCTATCTTCATTGCAGAGATTAACCATTCCAAGCAGTTGTCCCAGAAGTTTTGCAGAACTGATGCGTCAGTGTTGGGATGCTGATTCAAAGGTAGTTAACTTTATTGTGTTTGTTGACTGCATTGCTTTTCTTTTTACTTTTTTAATAATTTTACTACATGTTAGTCTTATTTTGGACCTGGACCATTATTGCTATTATAAACTATTTCACAGTTTCCCTATCAAAATTAGGTTTTTCATTACCATGATCTAGAACATGTTTGCTTTGACTTTTATCAGACCTGTTTTTTCAATTAGGATCATACAATCATAGAAAATTACTGTTGGAAGGGACCTCAGGAGGTCATCTAGTCCCACCCTCTGCTCAAAGCAGGACCATCGCCAAATATATAATACCAGCCAAGGCTTGACTAGCTTGGTCTTAAAAATCTCCAAGGATGAAGATTCCACAACCTCTCTGGGTAAACTGTTCATGTTCTTCACTACCCTTCTCATGAGAGAGTTTTTCCTAATATGTAACCTAAACTTCCCTGACTTCAACTTCAGATCATTGCTTCTTGTTGTGTCTAAATATCTATGTACTAAATAGAATTCATGTCAATAGGACAGGAAAATAAGAATTTGTACATTTGTCTTTGATTTAAGAAAAGTAGTTCTTAGCAACAGAAGTTTTTTCCCCTAAAATTATTTGTTTACAGATACCTGAAAGCAGTGACCATAAATTGTAATGGCTGAAAATGGAGTTTTGAGATTTGTTATTATGCTGAGAGTGCTTGTAACATCCGCTATTTCACAGTGTGAGTGAATATGGTAGAATCAAGTCTTAAATTAACAGGAAAAGTTGTCTGGTGTTTATATTTGAAAGCATTAATGACTAGCCTTATTTAAAATATATTACTAAAATGTGAAAATGAAATTAAAAAATGTTAAACAAGAAATACTTAATTAAGCTACTAAACCTGTTCAACTGCCCTGAAGAAAATAAAAAAGAGTACTTAAAGGGAATACTCATGCCAGTGATGGGAAATGTCCATCTCAAGTTAACTGCATTCCCTATCTTATTGTACAAGAAATTGTTTGGAAGGGACCTCTGGATGTAATTGGAAAAAAAAATTGGAATCATTTCAGATCTGTTATTAAATACAAGCTTTTCCTTTCCCTGTGTTAGTGGTTAAAGGCAGGAAATAATATTCCTACACCCAGCTGCATAGGGGCTGAATTTTTGTCCTACTGAAGTCAAAAGGGCTTCAGCCATTATTTGTGGAACTAGGTTTCATCCAGGGATAAAGCCAGATCATCTTGTCACTTGGGAGGAATTATGAGAAGGAAATAGGAAGGAGTTACTTTACTACAACTTATAAATCCACCAGCACATTCAGTAGCAGCATGTTTTCCAGATGGAAACTCGAAGCCTCTTCACCACATGCAGGGTCTCAGTTCCCCTACCGCTTCAAATGAAGAGAGTTCCTTAGTTCATAAATGGCTCTGAAGAAAAGCTACTGCAACTTCAGTCTGAATTACCTTTTTCTTCAAATTGCTAGTGGGCTGGGGCATAATGATCATTCTCCCAAAACACTCCCTTCAAATCCATAGATACAAAAATAGAGAATATAAGCACCTCATCTGGAAACAAGGAGAGGTTTGTACGTGGAGGTTTGCATGAGTCTCTGGCTCTTGGATAATGGATTTTCCTGAGATATTTCAGACCAGTTTGTTCATTGTTAGAAGTATTGCTTCTGAGAGTGTATATAGTGCAGTTTCTGCTGTAGTATACTGCGGTGTGCCACTTTCCCTTTGCCCATGATAGTCTATCATCTTAGGTTTCGCTTTCCATATTACTACATTTCTGTTTGGAAAAATTGTTCTATATCATTACATTTAAATCACTATGAATGAAGCATGGAAAGAGCGCACACAGTTTATGTAGTAAGCTCTGTTCAAGTTAAATTACCTTTATTAAGAGGTTTGAATGTGTTTAAATGCTAGGTTTTCATGAATATTAAAAAACACTTCTAGTAGACAGCTACGTATCTTAAACAACCATTTTCAACTGTCTCTTTTTCTACCAAGCACCCTTTTTTTTGGCCTGGATACTAGATGATTGCTTTAAAAAGCTTTCTCGTTATGAATCTTTTTCATCACCAGGCAGAATGTAGAGCAGGATGACACCTGCTCCTGCTCTAGGGTGTTTATACATATGCTCCAGGAGTAGGGGTGTTTATACATATGCTCCAGGAGTAGGGGTGGGCCACTTTAATTAGAGCAGCTCCAAGAGCCAATTTCATTAAGGTACCCACAGAGTATCTCATGTGTCAGTGTCCCCATGCTTAAAAATGGTGGCAGGGTCACTTTAACTTAAGCTCATTTGATTAATCGAGCCTGCTCTGGCATGCTGTAATTACAGCACGTTGGAACAGCCTCACTGCTCGTGTATAGGCACTCTTAGAGATTAACTGGTTCACGGAGGTACCACCTTACTTTGTCAGATGCTATGAATGGACTACCTTCTGCCTGACTTAAGACAAAAGGCCTTATTACATGTTGTACTTTGAGCAGCTCAAACGTTAATCAGCTTAGTGCTAGCTTGGAGTTTGGAGCAGTTTAGAAACCTCTGACTGTCCCCAACCTGCACAGCTGTGACTTGCTGCTAGTGCCTGGTGAGCAGGGAGGTCCCTTCCAGCCCTACTTCTCTGTGATTCTCTAAACTTCACCTGTTCCTGGCCTGCTGCAGCACCAGCATTCTAGACTGGAGGGAGGGGAGGGAAGCAGTGGGGTCCCTCGAGAGCAAGCCTGAGGGGCTCGGTGGAAGCAGTGTGGGGAGGCCTCTGCCTGCCCAGCTTCAGGCACACATGTACTCTAGACTTGCTGTTGTACACATCTGTGTGCATCTCCTAGCCACACACATCCCATAGGCTGTTCCCAGTGCTTGGGTAACTTCAGCCTAGAGGGGCTTAGCTGCTTCTCTGTTTCTTCCCCCTCCATCTCCACCCCCTAGCTCTGCCCCATATCCACCCCCCCATCCCTCCTTGGTGCCCCCAGGCTCAGCGGAGGCAACCCAACAGCACATGGAATGAGCAGACAGCCCCAGGACCCAGGCTGAGGGAGGCCCAAGTAGCAGCCCCAGGAAGCTGGTGGTGGCAGAGGCAGTGGACATAGGACTGGGGACCACAGCAGCAGCGCCTAGTGTAGCCAGTTCCCTCCCAGGTTGGCTTCATTCTGCATCTGGGAGTGGAGTCCACATGCAGCCAGCTTCCATGTCCATACAGGCAGCAGCAAACCCCCACAGCCTAGATCCACATCCAGCTGCCTGACCCTGAAGCAGTGCCTTCCCTGGCAGCAGGCTGCCCCCTACGCTGCAGCAGCCACTGCCAGTGCTTGCCGGGTTGTGTGTGGATTGGATGCATGGAGCAGGGTGCTGCTGAAGTTGCAGGGCTGGAGCTCAGGCCTTGCCAGAGCCCAGCTAGGTCTGGTGGTGCTCTGGGGCTGGCCACACTTTCCTCTGCCCTCCAGGGCTTGGCAGGGGAAGCTGGGCGACACAGGGCCCAGCAGTGGCTGCCTGTCTAGACAGGCTCAGTCTTGAGGGGGGAAGCTCACTGGGTTTCCGTTCTTGGACTAGGGGGCTGGAGGCTGGGGGAAATAGAAAATCTGTGGTTCCAGTCCCTGGGCCTCTCCACTAAGCAGCTGAGGGTGTGAGAGCCCACATAACAGGAGGGTATGGGAGAGGCCACTGCATCCTGGGGTATTGGAAAACTTCAGTTTGAGGGGCACATC